GCCCCCCGCGACCCTGAAAAGGATAAGCGGAAGCGAATGGATGGAAAGATAATCAGAAATTATTATATTCTGACTTCAAAAATAGCAAAATTCCAAATCATGTACAAGCTGTTTATTAAAAAAATAATGTCTTCTGTATAAAACTGCGGTACTACCTGCTGAGTGTGTTTTCTGCTTCTGGATTTAGAGGTTGCCATTAGGATCTCTTTATGAATGAATACGCTTTGTTGTTGCACCAAAACATAAATTCAGTACAAGAAGCTATCACTGCCTTACAGTAAGGAAACTGTTGCTTTAAAAGGGGATGACCATGACTGCTGATTGATTGCATCACAGACTCTGGTCCACTGAATCCCTTATTTGTTATACAGGTCTGTTCTACTTTTGACCTTTTTTAACGTCTTCAATCCCACGTTAACCTCTGATTCAATCTGTAGTAGATAAACCCTGTCACAGGTCACCACCAGGAAGAGCTTGACATTTTTACATGCTGGTCGACGACTGAAGTGAATGATCAAAAACATAGTTCGGTCACGTTAAACGATGCAAGCAAAAGAACATGTAAATATTTTGGCAAACATTTGAGTTATTAACACGCATAGGTGGATTTTTGCTAATGTTGGTTTCAGTCATGTATGGCGCCGCTGCTGGCAGCGTGACCCAGCAGTTCCTGTGTTTACAAGATCTGATGGTGAGCGGCAGCTCGGCACACAGCTTTACAACTTTAAAGGTCTGACCAGAATTTGACCCCTAAGAGCAATAGACCATTTGTAGATTCAGAGGAAAAAATGACAGCTGTCACTCCAGAAATCATGCGGGTACATGAGTGTATTTGGTTTCACAGTAAAGCATGTGATACACCATTTGTTAAGATGAAATATTGAACAAGATTAACAAGTTTTTAAGGAGGTAAATATCAGCGTGCTATGTTCAGAAACCAGAATACATACACAAACAAGACTTCAGGCGTATATGAATAGAATTATAAAAACAGAATGCAAGGACATGTTATTGACTGTACATTTTTAACTGTATCACCTACAACTGCCATCACCAACTTCACAGCCAAGTCAGAGAGGCACTTCACAGTTTACACTGATATAATCACAGTAGTACTGTAATAATCCTGCTGCAAAGCTGCGACTGTATATTTACAGCACTCGATACCGTATTTCCACAAAGACATGGCAACTTTTTTAACCTGTTATATAAACAAGTGAAGCTAAACTTATATCTACAGACAAAAGAACAAATGAATACTTTGATCATGACTACTGTATAATCCTCATAATAAACGACTATATCGTGCACACAGAGCCATAGCTGACTGACTGACTGAAGTTAGTCAAAGGTACTGCATCAGTGTGGACGTTTAGTACATTTGCAGCTATGATCACCGCTGCAATAACTAGTAGCCAGTGTTTCGCACCCAGCTATGCCACCTTCACTGTTTTATCACTGCGAGTAGCACGGCTGGTATTACTTTTCAACATTTTTTTCTCCTTCTTTGGTCAAAGATTTTTTTTTAATCCTTTTTTTGGTCTTTAAGGAGAAACATGCTGCATAGAATCATCAGTAGCACCGTGTGACAAAAAGATAAAAACAAATGAAGAAAACATGCCAAGTGTGCACTGATAACTGATGTTAAAAAGAAAAACACTGCACTAGAATTGTTACTACCTAGCCTGTTAAGAGTAAGAAATGTTTTTTTAAAAAATATATGAATTTCTTCTTGTAGTCTTTTTTCTTTCTTTCTTTTTATTATTCCCTGTTTTAACTCAGTGTTGGACTCCATGATTATTATCCATTACTATATTAAAAAACATGTTCATCAGGATCTACTTTCTATAAAAACAGGATCAGTGAGCAACAATGCTAAGTCTTGATATAGACACACAAAGATGGTGTTTTGTGCAGGTACAATATGCTAAAGCCTTTAAAAAAAAATACAAAGAAAAATAAGTTTTGTGTTTATCCGGGCTCATGTGTTCTTCATTTCTCTACAAATAAATGAAATAAAGGCTCTTCTTGTTACATTTTAAGGACACTCCAACTGCATAACTTGTTCGTGTATATCCTAAACACGGGAC